ATCGCAACCCTCGGTGTTGCTCCCGCACCTCGCTCAGCCAGTGAGCGGCCGGTCTGTATGTGGGATCCGAACCCTCGGCGGGAGCGCCACCACGCTTCCCAAGCGGCGCACTGTAGCAGTGTGACACCGGGCCGGCCCAGACACAGAATACTCTTCACAGGAAAGTAGTTTACAATATACCTGTATTCAACATCACATTTTAATTTCCACAGCCATTCAGATTTTGCCAAATGCCAAGCATGTAACAAAATGTGTGCAGTCTGTTGACTGAAAATAAAACTGTATAATAGCTATATGAAGAAATATTTTGTTTTTTTAGAGTAATACTTTGCATCAATAAATGACACTGTAACAGCAATAGAGAATGATTAAATTGATTATGACATATCCTTATGCTGTTGGTAAACATTGGATTTCTAAAGAAACATACCCACATATTCCTTTTAAAGCAGAGAAGGCTATAAAAATTCTAATTCAATAAATATTTTCAGTTGATTTATATAGAAATTAAAAAATCTAGAGAAAGTATATGTTCAAACTATAGCCATTCCTTACTAATAGGAACACTGAACTCTCTCAAATTATATAATCTTTAGACTTTGAGATCAAAAGTCATCTAATCCAGTAACCTATCTTGAATGCCTCCATGTGTTTCACAACATTTCTGGCAAGCAACAGTTCAGGCTCTCTTTGAACACTGCATTCTTTCTTTGACCTGAATGTAGATTTTGTTTTTAAATTGTAAGGATGAAATCTACCTGCTATAGGTCCCACCCATTGATTTTTTGTTTGAAATCTTGTCCTGTGCAAATTGAAGCATAAGGCTCTTAATAAGGCTCAGGTTCCTAGAGTCTACGCCTGAGAGTAGAGCTGGGAACAGATCCAAGAGGGGGATTCTAAAAATGATGTCAAGGCGCTGACTGAGAAATAGACTGTCCAAGTGAAGCCCTCATCTAGAGGATGCAAAGCAGAGAGGTAAAAACTAGGCCCAACTCTCTGGAAATACAACTGGAGATACGATGGAAACATGATGGAAAAATCAGGTTTGGAAGGCAGACAAGAATGAGAACTTAGAAAGTGTCCCCAAAATATTCAGTGACAGCCATGGAATGGCAGGAGGTTTTTAGCCCTAAAGCCTAAGCACTAACAAAAACACTGTTAGCCATACTGCTCCTGCTTTTTTAGCTATAAAAAAGACCAATATCCTAATCCTCTTATACAAAAAACCCAGTCTCTACAAATGATTCTATAATCTTGAACCCTTTCACTAACACAGATATGCTCCTCTATCTGTGCTGATCATTGCTAATCTTAGAGTGTGGTTACAGGGACTCAAATGTCATGTGTTCCATAGAGCAGAGGGGACCATTTCTCTTCCTCCTGCACATACCCAGCCATGAAAAGAATTACACTTCTTTGCACCTGTTACAGTGCTGAATACCAATTAAATTTCTAACAGTTATTAATGAGATAGGAGGTGCTCAGGCCACTCCCCTAGGTCTAAAATTACTCCCCTAGAACTCAAGCTCCATTCAAATCCTAAGCTACAGTGGCATGTAGCACATATTTTTGGCACCAGCACTCAGAGATTAAGACCGAAAGGGGAGATTTATGTAATTTCACTCACCAAGCATGCTCAGTAGAAAGTTTATCCCTTGAATGACCTTCCATTGGAGATGCTAAAGAGCATCAAAAAGCCTGGCTCTGACACTTAGCTGTGGGACTTGGGCAAGTTATTTAACCTCTGTCTATGCAGAGTCTTCCTCTGTAAAATGCAGATCATTCTGTTTTGTTCTAAGCACTCTGATGTTAAAAAGCAAATACACTTTCTCTGCAGTGAAGCAGCTAGTCACAGCATTGAACAATCCAGGCCTTTCTATACTGGAAGGAAAACAGTGCTGAAAGCAGCTGTTTCTTTCTAATAACTTGGAGTGTTTTAAGACTCCAGAACTTAAAAGGACTAAGGTGTTACCTAATGTATTCTTAAAATAAGCCATTTGAAACAACATATCAAAAGAACATTGGAGTGATTGCTTTTACCATTTTGACAGGAAACTCGGGGAAACTGCAATCAAGTCATGCCACTAACCCTGAGATGGAAATTCTAGAGCAGTGTGTAGCTGAACTTTGTACACGGAAGAGTGAATACTCCTTTTCCTATAAACTTCATGAGGCCCCAAGGACCATGACATTCCTGCCTTTAATAAACTCATAACATACCTTTCCCTTCCCTAACACTTTCTGTATACCACAGTCAAGTGTAATTTGCAGAGGAAACAGTGATGCACCAGCAATTGACCACCAGATTTGTCTTTAAGCATGCGACAGTCACAAGCACCCTGTTCCTCTCAGAAGTTTTCCCTTTATTATTTGAAGGTTCATAATACATTGTATATCAAGAACCAAACATTCCTTTTCCTGATATACATGTATACTAAGTGGTTAAAAACTATTTAAAAATGTTTCTAGATCTGTGTGTATGTTAAGAAAAGAATAAGTAAAATTTCTGAAGATGTTTGATAATATTTATGAAAGAGGAAAAAACATTATACAAAACCATATAAATTGTAGGTTCTAAGGAATTAACGAAATAATATTCATATCTGGGATGAATTTCCAAAACTTAATATGTTAAAAGTGTTATACATCTGGTGGTAGAATTAAAGATTATTTTGATTTCTTGATTGGAATATTCATATATTTCCAAAATTTTCCATACTATATGACAATTACTTAAGTAATTGAGGGAAAAGGGGAGAATATTTTTTAAAATCTTGGAAGAGGGAAAGAAATTCATACTTCTTTGCTCTGGTCCTTTCTGTCTCTGAATTTAAAATTCTTCTTTACCACCTGCTGTATCATTCATTCATATTTCACTTACCTGCCAGTATATGAAGAAAAAATATCCAGTGCCATTATTCCTCCAGATTGTTGTCCCAAGCTTGCTCTGAACTCTTCCAAATGCTCTGCAGGCACATAAGTAATTCTGGAATAAAACACAATCCATAAAAACAAAGTTGTACCTAAAGGAAAGGCTTCCAAAATATAGGAAAAAATTATACTGCCCCTTCCTTCATCCCTACTTTTTCACACAACTCATTTAATCAGCATATTCAGCAGAGAATCCAAGCTTCAAAAGAATAAATTATTTTATAAGCATGAACAACAACAGAAATTAAAATTTTAAGTGCTGCTAAAAAAATTTATCTTTACCAATAATCATAAGGGGAAGGAAAGCAGCATTAGTTATATTTCCAAATGAGAAGGCTAACAGCAATTATTTGAAATCAGAAAGATCTATAAATCCGTAGAATAATAACTGTCAGTAATAATACAAATTTTGCCCAAAGATTTTTGGGTTCCCTTACAGAAACAAATTAGGTATATTCTATTAATATACTGAATATCCCAAATTATTTTACATTTTTCCATCATACACAATTAGACATTAATAAGCATTAAAAATAATTATGTCAGCTCTATTAAGTTATGAACTCTCAAGTCTAAAGTATGAAAGTAAACCATTTAAATATATGGAAAGACTCATTCTCATTTGTAGCACTTTCTTAAAGTTCACTTTGGTTTCAAAGAAAAGCCTACTGTTTACACTTGAATGGCCATTTACTAATTCAACAAGAACTGACTGAATGTCTATTATGTGGAAGGCACTATACTAAATGCTGACTACAGCTGTAATGTTTAAAATCTGACATTTGAAAATACAAGTTTACTGCTGTCCTGTAAGGATATTTACAAAGTTGATACACTTTTTAAAGTAGGCTGTTCCAAGATCACCAAATTAATGAATAGTAAGGTAAGAGAAATACTGTATCTAAAGTCAGTACAGCATGTTCGTGCAATTAAAAAAAAGGGTAAAAATGCGCAATAGAGAAATCATGAAGGTTATTAAATCATCTATCCAAAATTTACCCATTAAGATAATAAGTCAGCACTGGAGGGCAATACTAAAATGATTGCCTTATATGTTCTAAAAAAATAAAAATTATACCAATGGCATAATTTATTGAGTGAGGAGGATATATAATTTCAGACACATTGGTTGTTCCGTAGAAAGCATCCAGTCTTTCACTTCACCCAACTGTGAAGTCACAGGTTTGGAGTCAGAAGAAACAGTCCTGCTGTCACTGGGAAGGTGGTGGGAGGGTCAGTCACCATGGCTGAACCTCCATAGCCTCAATCACAAAAAGGGCATCACTTTCTATGAGGCTACTGTAGGCTGAGAAGCACAACACAAACGGAAGTCAGCACAGGACCTCAGCCTTCCTGGCATACCAATCACTCTGGCAGAATACACAGACCCTCTGGGAATCTTCTCATGACACTTTTACCTCAAGGATCAAAAATGAAGCAGAAAGCACAAATCAGTGGACTTAGGACTAGGATGACTAAAAGAGTTGCATTCTAATTTTGGTCCTACTTAATTTATTCATCTGTAAAAACACCTCTAAGGTGTTACAAAAACATATTACATAATAATTTTTTTTCCTTTCAAAATTATGAGTCAAAATGCACATTATGTCAGGGAAGAAGACTAATTGTACCTTCCACAAAGAAAAATAAAAAATGAACATAAAACCTAAAACTAAAAAGACTATTCAAGAAAACTAGTACTATTTCTGAAAATTCAGTAAAACTCATATAAATAAAACCTTAAGTTAAAAAAGCCAGGAAAAAGTGACAGGGGAAAGGTAGGTCACAATAGCAAAAATAATAATCAGTACAAAGTATTTAATTTTTTAATTGGTTTGAGAAGGTAAAGATGTTTCTATCCCAAGCAATGTTGAAAATGATTTTTCCTCTATATTTGTTCAAAGCTGTTTTTTCTTTTACCAAACGGCAGGGAGTGGGAGGTTTTGTTTTTTTTTTTGTCTTTTGTCTTTTTCCGTGTCCAGCAACAGATCGCAACCCTCAGTGTTGCCCCCATACCGGACCGGGGACCGGCAATGGGATCGCAA